AGATCCAAGAACAAATTTTAAAAATATGAACTAGTTTTAGAGCTAAATGCGCACGCTTACATTCTGCATGGGATTGGGCATCATTGGTGGTCGTTGTAGTGCGCCAGGCGAGGGTATCTGTCCACCGCCAGCGCCCGCACTAGCCATGGCAGCTGCCGCCGCCTGCTGCTGTGCATGGCTGGCCAGCCGCTGGTATTGTGACTGGAAGCGTGCATTGCTGTTCATGAAGCTGTTGTTGTCTCTGGGCCCACCGCCCGGGCCGCCACCCTGTCCGAAATTCTGCTGGCCGGGCATAAAATGCGCCCGCATCGGGGGTAATGATTGCTGGTGTGCCGGCGAGGGTGCGCCCTGCGGCCCGCCTGGATAGCTGGGTGGCCCATTAAAAGCCAGATGAGCGTTAGGACTCTGCGCCGCCTGATTATTCAACAGACCACGCAGGCTTATGTCTAAAGGAAACATGAAGCATAGGATAAGAATGCTTACGATAATTTTATTTTTGTACGTACCCATATTCTGCGGATGTGTGGAGGAGCTGACATGCGGTTGACCCTGCCGCTGCATGCCCACGGGTGGCATGCCGCCAAAACGAACTGCAAGGAGATTAATAAGGTAATGTTAGTACAAGTTAACTTTTAGATATAAGAATATTGGTTAATTGAAGCCTACCCTTACCTGGCCCATCACCTGGAAAGGAACGGCTCATGGACAAATTGTTGAACTGCTGTTGTGCGGCCGCATTACTGTACATGGGCGGTCCGTTCTGTGGTCCAAAACCACCTGGTGGCCCATTGGGCGACAGGCCGGCGGTCATGCCCGGCGGTAATCCGGGACGCAATGGTGGCGCCATATTTGGGCTAGGTGGCTGGCGTGGCGGCGGTGGTTGCGGTCCATTTTGTGTGGGCGCCGGTGCCGGCGGATATGGTTTGCCATCTACTATAACAATGCCCAGCTGTGAGATGACTTTCTGCAGTTCGGCAACCTGGTTTAGCTGCACCTGAATCCGAACTGGAATCTCTGGATTGGGTATATCAGCGCGCTGACATTTGAGCTTCTGCAGATGACGTACGAGTGACTTTTTGCTTGACAATATTGCAAAATCGCTGCCCTTTTCGAGGGCATTCTGCATAAATTCAATGCAATGATCGGTGTTATCGGATAGCAGCTGCAGTGTCTCCTTCTTCTCGACAAGCACCTTCAGTTTGCTGTCGCATACTTCGTTTAGACGCATGACCAGCTGCTTGCCACGCATGTTGACTGTGTTGGTGATCTTAACCACCATTGCGGTTATCTCTTTGATCAGATCCTTCTTCTTGTCATGTATCAGCTGTTGGCGATCATCGATCACCTTTGTGGCTGAGGAAAGCAGAAAGCGCTTGTAGTTGATCTCAGACACAAGCGTAGACAAAGCCTGTCGCGACTCTGTGGCAATCTCATGGGCAAACTTGTACTTGTGATCCCTATGATCGCTTAGCTGGCAATCACGACAGGTTAGCTTGTCGCAGGTCTCGCAGAACAACGAAAGCTTCTCCTGTGTGTGCAGTTGGCACATGTGCAGCTTGTCGACGCCGACAGTGCCCGCCAGCTGTTCATTGTTAGCCTCATCTTTTGGCTTGATCGTGTGATCCTTTGTGATCTTGAGACGCTGATGCGCCTGTACACAGCTATCGCATATATACTCCGAGCAATCCACACACCACGATGTGGCCACAGCTCCATCCGAGCAGCTGCTGCACTGTATGTTGGCCGTAAGCGAACTCTTTAAACCATCGTTGGAGCCGTTACCATCGCCGCTGTCTCCGGCCGCACATTGCTCAATCAGGAACTGATTCTCAATGATGTACTCATTTTGTGAGGCATTATCGCACACCGGACAGTGTATTAGTGGCGGCAGTGAACGATCCAGCTCAGAAAACTTTGTATTCACACATTGCCCGCATGCCACATGCAGACACTCCAGCAGCTTAGGACGATCGTTGATGCCCAGCACCTGGGCACAGTAAACGCATTTGAAGAGCGTAAATTTGGCGGATGCCGATGAATTTGATTCTGACTGTAAATGTATAATAGAAGAAAATATTTGATTACCAAGCGAACGCATCGTAAACCTCTAAAAAAAATTTGTTTTAAAATGTGAAACGCTTATCAGCGTGTCATAAAAGCTATAAAACTCAAGGTGAGCACTTTTGTGTTACTTAGTGGGTTATCTATAAGTGGAGCCACTCAATAAGCCATTTCTTCCAGTACAGGATGATATATTATAAAGCTAACGAGTGCTTCTATTAATTATATTTTCCTGTATTGCTCATTCAAACGACATATTCATAAGGTAAAGCTTTCACTACGCCATGATTAATAGTCTATGACTAGCTCGCTCATTATGTAATCTTACCTGAACTTATCGCAGTAATTTTGATAAGCCGCAACCTGATGACCTGACAAACTATTAAAAATGGCCGCAAGCTGTTATCAGTGTGGAAAACTCCAAATATTTTGTGTGGTTACTGATTATCTTTTGTATACAAAAATAAAAAATAAACTAAAGCTGGAGGATTCAGTTGATAGGTTGGTCAAGACAAAAAAATGTCCAACTAAGAGATACCCTGAACCCTGCCACGAGATATCGCTGACAACATTCTAGTTCTCTTTACAGAATAATTTGATATACACAAAAAACACGCTGCGGCATGCTTGTTTTCTTATCTATACACTAGGAAATGCTTCCGTGCTTCCGATTAAATTCAGTGTTTATTGTCTGAACTATAAAATGTTTAGTACATTTAATTAGGTACATATACACAAAGTACCAAATTTAATCTCTTTAGCTTTTTTAAGCTCCGAGGTACGCCCAAAAATAGCGAATATCGTCAACGATTTTTAATTTTAGGAAAAAGGTTTTAGTTATCAATGCTGACTCACTCGATCTGCACCAACCATATTTAACCTATGTCCTCTCAAGCTCGTAGCATTTATAGTCCCCGAGAATATGACATACAAACGATCAGATAACATTCTGTTATGTTAACATGATGTTAGTCTTATGTTAATAAAGGAATAGTTATCATATAAATTTAATTTATTTTAAAGGAAAAAGTTGTTAAGAAATTCGGTTTACACGTTTACAGGATATCTTTTGCATTCCCAATACATCTTTCATAATAAATTGCACTAACTTTCCAGCGAGACACGAGAGCATAAATTTAGCAATAGAAAAAATAAAAGAAACAGCTTATCTGGGGGTAAACAAATAAATAAAGCTTCCTACTGGAAGTGAAGATGCATTGGAATGGGTTGGGGAGGCTGTTGCTGGTGCTGCTCTGTTCGTCGTATCCGAATGTCGCAGGGCAAGATTGATTAGTTTTATCTTGAGTTGGAGCACATAAATCCAATTGATTGATTATGCCTTTGCTCGATAAAGATTACTGCATTGGTATGCGAGCGTTTTACATGCAACAACCAGTGTGTGTCTGTGTGTGTGTGTGTGTATGGCAACGGAAGCGCCATGGACATTGATAAATGCGCCACAACAGAGCAGACCCAGTCAAATTCGAGAAACAGTTGTGCGATTTTGCGGCTCGACATTGCAGTCAAACTGGGATCCATCAGTGCAATACGTTTGCTACGATCCAGCGATCCATCTTGGGGCTCAGTGTTGACGTCAGCAATGCCGTAGAGAGAAAGTCCGTCTCGGTTTTCTCCAATGACCCTCTCACTCTCTCTCTCTCTCACACAGCTTTCGAAACGCCTCAGCGTTCATAAATCATCGGGCAACAGCCATTTTATATTTATATATATACTAAACATATAAAATATATGTATATATGGGAAGCTTGCCACATGCCCACGCGCAGCGAGCGAGCAGCCAACATACATAATTTGGAGTCAGGGCATTAGGGGGCGACGTTCCACTTGAAAGCCATTCATCATAATGTATACTCCATGGCCATTGCTCACGTTCTCCTCGCTCGCGGCACTCGCTCGTTCGCTAGCCAAATGTGGGCCTCCAAACTGGTCGGCTCGGGGCTCGTGCGCCCGCTCGGCTCGTTGTTCAGGTTGGATACTCGGTCGGCGCAGCCCACTTAAAAGTTGCTCAAGTCCAGTGCGACTAACATACCATTAAAATCGTTGCGAAATAAAGAAAAAAAAATAACCAAACCAGCTGCAACCCCCATGTTTTCAATCACGTTGAAATGACTAGCCATAAACTGAAAGCGGGTAGCAAACCGGTTTCTGGCCCACATCCGCTCCCAAAGACACAAATAAGGGCTCAATTTGGCCAAGTAATTCCAATTAATAGATATTTCAATCAGTCAATCAAGCATCAACAACATCAAGGAGAAATGAAAGCTATGTAATGTAAGTATTTTTGAATTCCCTTCCAGAACGGAAATAGTCTCTTAAAATATGTATAGCTGTTATAAAATGTTGAATAACTTCAGAGATAAGAAAAAATAACTTAGATAATAACATTTTTATTTTTCCATTTTTTAATGTTTTTAAGTTTTCGCTTTTAAGATTATTAAATTGTTCTTCGCACCAAGTTTGTACTAATAAGTAGATAAAATAAGAGCGAATGTTTAATAAATACCCGAAGAAATAGACCGAATTTGTCCGGGCTGTGAATAAGTAATACGTAGGCAGTTGCACCCGACCTTATTTTACCTTGATATTGCGGCTACTTCATTTTCACAAAGAAACATGAAAGTACGGATATTTTCGGACCGCGTTATAAACGAATAGATAAATATAAGTCTCATGATTTGGCAGGTATGCGGTTAGAATTGAAAAGACAGAGATTGCCTTTAAATATGCTTTGTTAACATTGTAAAAATATGTAAACTTTAATAAATAGGGAAAAACTTTTTTTAATTCATAAGAAAATTCCCATAAAACTTTCTATCCCATTTTGGGTCTTTGTTTTAATTTCTCTTTAGTATTAAACAAAAAAATATACATCCTAATCGGCTGAGCAGTTCTTGACTTTTTGCATCATAGAAATGTATGAACGTTTTCGTAATAAATACATTATAAATAAAATTATTTTTTGAATATACTAAGTATTCTGTCGGCCATTAAAAATCATCATGCCTTCATTTCAATCATATTCACGCAATTGCAGGGTGAAAAATGGTAAGGAGCTTGCGTTTGTGTTGGCCATTAGCAGCAGCCTTTGGCAGTATATTCCAAGCCGGGAATGTATAAATAATTCTAAATCAATTTCAATTAGAAAATGTTGAAAGGATGCCCCAACAGCATTAGCTAGAAGCAAAAAAAAAAAATAACAACAACAACGACAACAATGGAGAGCGCTTCAACAACAATGGAGAGCAGAAAGCGAAGCACTAGAAATGTGCTGACATGATGGAATGGCTGCATGACGTCTGGCACTGAATGAGTGCAGTTATGATTGATGTAATTTTGATGAAAGTAATCACATTTCCATCCAGCATTGCGAAGCCCTTTAAAGCCGTTTCACATTTCATTGGGAATTTATTTGCAAGAAGTTTTAAGTTCGTAAAAAGTTTCATTCTTGTTAGTCACACAGAAAAACTTTGTTGCGAAAATGAAAGAAGTTCTACAACTATATTTCATTTCTCCTCCACCCAAACTCAACCAGCTCCAACACTTATCCAGCCCTTCAACTTCAGATGCTGGCGCTATGACAACGGCAAAATCGGTTGAAAGTCCCATTGGCAACAACTTTCAAGCACATCTCACATGCCAAATCCATTTTTTTTTTCAGGCAGCCATAATTCCATTAATTTGCGTGTTCACATCAAATTGGATTTTCAGTTAAGCCGCAGCTTTTGCTGTTCAGCGAAAAGTTCACTGAGACGAACGAGATTCAGGGTTTTAGCTTTGACAGCCAGTCAAATGAACATTATATTTTCATTCAACTTAATTTCATAATTTGTATACCCTGCATACCTGAAATCTGCAAAAATAAACGGGCATATATAAAAATACACAGTTTTGACATCTATCCTGCAAACTTAGAATCAATCAAAGTCTCACAACCGTATTATCAAGAATTAGTGAAGTTTCGATATTGTATTGACGCGTTTCAATTAATGTATCAACTTATTATTTGTTAAATTATTAACTTAATTGCATCTGGCGCCATCTGGGCTATCAGCTGTGGGCCGTGACTATATTAATTGATTACAAAACATTTTTTGTAACCATTTTTTTTTTTTTAGTGAAATACAAAAAAAAAGTAATTTGCATGCTGATAAGCTTTTAATGTACCAGACTGCACTTATATTATAATATAGAGTGCATTATATTTTATTATCTTTAAATTATCATATTAACATGCATTACATTTTATTACATTTATATAACGTTTTCATGTTCATTGCAACTTTGTAAGCTACTCAATGAGAGCGGAACCCAATAATATCAAATAATTGCAGCCACGTGGTGATTGTAATCTGGGCTATGTCGAAAAAGTTTGCAAATAATGCAATTTGATTGACAACTCTTTAAAAAGGGATTGGATATTATTTTTGTGAACAGGTTCGCATGTCCTTGTTTGGCCGCCTTATGTTATTATTTTTTGTGTGCTTCTTTATTTGAAACGACAGATAAGTAATATGTAATTCAGCGAATGGCCTTAAATTAAATGTAAGCTATAATTACAGTAAACATCGGTTGCAAATTAAATGCATATTGAAGTATTTTGCATTTCACATGACAGCAACAACAACAACAATAATAATAAACGGCATACAGCATTGTTGTACTGCACTTGTATGGCTTTTGAGGATAGCACGGCGGGACTTGTGGTCCCTGCCTGTGGGTGGCGTATAAATCAATGCAATATGAGAACATGCATCATCTGTGTGCGTCAGGAATCCTTACTAAAATGACTGCGGGTGGCATTCGACGGCCATTTTGTAAAAGTCCCTAACGCTGCGGGCGGCGTCCTGTTGCCGTTGATGCTGCTGCGGGTCTTGCTGGTCGTGCTGGCTGTCTTTGGGTTTCATGTTGCACAACGTTTGTCAGTCAAAGGCTATTATTTATATATTCCGCTATGTAATATACATTTTACATATTTATTATATGCGTAATGTCCATGAAATGACTGGCGCATCATCAACAACAACGAAATCAGCTACAGAAGGTAATTAATTGCAGTTAAAACCAATTAGACTTGTGGTTGCATATCGATTTCTTGGTCAAGTCCAGTCAAACCACCCCAAGTTTCAAGTAAATATCCTTTTGTGTATATTAATTGCATTCGGTCCACAAATATCTTCATTTGCGTGTTTTTGCAATCAATTTATTTTGATATGCATTCTAATGATAATTCATTTGCTACAGTTTCCATGCGCCATGCGAATCTAATTTGATATGTAATAATTGATTTAACTGTATCCAGAAATATGCATACGGTTTCCATGGAAATTTTTAGATTTAGATTTCGGCTTTTCTAATGATAAGACAGTACAGGGTAGCTTTATAATTAAAGTATACGAATAACTGCTCATGGGTAATGCCTTAGACAGGTTTTATGGCAAGCCTTTTATAAAGATAGCAAATAACGTGACTAATCAAATTTTCCATGCATAAATATGGGTTTTACAATGAGCAATAGATTACTTTTATACAGTTTTTTATTTCATATCAAACATTAATGGAATTTCATTTAAGTTGCCCTCCCAATTTTCAGACCAAGGACTCAAAGTCACAGGGCGCACAGGTGAATAAGAGAAAATGCGACTCTTGAAATATTTATGAGGCTGAGTAATAAACTTAAAGATAAAGAACGCTCAAAATGCCAGCTATAAATTGCGACCAGAGAAGCCGAAAGAAAGAGACATAAATATACGTATAAGGAGTGAGATAGCCTGAGCAGATGGCACAATAAAATGCATTTACTGCCCATAATAAAAGCAAAAAACTTGATTGTGCCTCAAAACCTGCGATTGAACTAAACAAAGCAAACAAAAAAAATATATGTACACCAGCCTGCAAAAGGTGCTGCGATTTATGCGATAGCGTCGTCCAGGACCAGGCCCGCAACTTGCCCCCATAGTATCGGCCGGCAGCTTAAGGCAAATTTTTAATTAGCCTGGAGCATAGTATTAAATTAAAATGCGTGAAATGCATATTAAAATTAAATCAAAATCCTTGTAAGACTGTTCACACTATTCTTAATTATATAGTAATAAATAAGCGTTGACTAAATTATTTTAAAGTTTCACACGGCAAATTTGTATTATCCATCGAGTGCCCGAAAGGACTTACCTTAAGCGTAGCGTCGAGCTGTGTGCAGGTGCAGGTGTGTAAATATCGAAGCCGAAAAAAAAATTGTTTATGCCCTGAACCGATAAAAATGGGTATAAGGGAATATTGTAGCATCTCCGACCCCATAAAGTATATATAATCTTGGTCAGCACCAATAGCCGAGTCGATCTAGCCAGTCTGTCTGTCCGTATGTATGAACGCAAGGATCTCAGAACCTATAAGAGCCAGAGACTTGAAATTTTAGATGTAGGTGCCCCTAATGCCTGCGCAGATCGAGTTTGTTTCCGACAGTCGAAAATTTACTCCGTTTCCAAGCAATCAATAAATATCGATATCGATATCCGTTTTTTTGGGCCATTTTGGTAAATAATAAGCGCTAGAGTCACCAAACTTGACATTTAGCTTCTAAAATACAATATATATATGCATTTGATGTTGGAAGAGGAAGAAGAGGGTTCAGGATATCCCCTAGTCGGGAGCTCCCAACTTAACCTCTTACTTGTTTTATTTTAATGTAACGGGGTGGTATCAAAAAAAATATATATTCTGGCTTTATGTTAACTGCAAGATATTCTACATCCCAAGTAAGATATCTCTAGCTGTTATTAGCTCCGAAATATGGTCAAAAAAAAAATATGTCAATATTAATTTTATGAAAAGGGGGCAAGAAATAAACTCGATCTGCACTAAATTTAGATTGAATACAATTTTTATTTCATTGGTTTTGTCCGCTTATGGGATATTTATAGACTTTTTTTTTAAGTTTTGTTCACGTAATGTTTTTAAACTGTCCGGTTATAGAAATACATTTTGTATACAAAGGGTGAATATGCCCTGTATACACTTTATGGTATGCACAAAACCATTATATTGATTTTTACCGATTTTCAATCGGTTTAGGAACTTTTCATCTAGATGCACGTAAAGCCAATAAACTTCCCCTGCACAAAGGTCACGCTGTATGGCCATAAATTAACTGCACACACCTGCGATCAACCCTCAGACATTTCAAATTAACGACCGGTCCGTTCTACTATGCAGCCGTTAGGTTATACAAATTTACGACCGATCTTGTGCCGCCGATCCTTACAGCACATAAAATAAATATACTTACATATAGTTAATCAGATTGGACAGGTATCAACATTTGAAATAACGAATTTCAAATAGTATATAAGTCTGCAATGCATATTTATAATATAAAACTATAGTTTGGTTTCTGGGCCATTTACTTAAATCGCTGACATATCCGGCAGTGGCGCTGCAATTTCCGCTGCGCCGCAGGAACACAGAGAGGGTGTGTGTGTGTGTTGGAGGGGTCGTCCTAATGGGCAAACCCTAATGACCTAACATAACATTTCATAACGCAATTTAAGCTACCCAGACAAAAAATTTGTTACAAAAATGATGCCATAAAAATGAACGAGTTTGTATTTGATTGCGGATTAAAATAGGAGGATGCTCGAACGAGATGGAACTTTTGGTATGCCCTACCGCTCCACCCATCAGCAACATATATAGAAATGTATCTTTCAGATTTGTTTTTTTTTCCACAAGTGTTGCTATTCGCTTCATTCGCATCGTTTCCCATCGTTGCAGTCGTAAAGATTTAATTGTATGGAAATCGTAAATGGCACGCAAAAGAACCAAGAAAGTTTTTATGAGCTTCGAGGGATACAGAAAATCGATGGGCCCATAAAGGTAACCTAGAAAGTCAAATTCAAAAAACCGAAAGGAACTTCTCATCTATACATATATTATGATATTTTCTATTGTATAGCGTAGGCTATATCTGCAAACATACAAGGAACACGATAAGCTGGAGACGACACCGATGACCTCAAAATATGATTCATAACGACAATGACAGCGAATCAAGCAGTCAGTCCGTCAGTCAGCGAGTTATGCCATGCCAATCCATTGAAGTTGATTGCTTTGAGTGGTTTTGGTTGCGGTTTATTAAGATACATACTTATAGAGCAAATTGTTCAATCGCTACGTCAATGTGAGGCCCATTAAACAAAATGGGGTCTACTTTCGCATTGCAGAAATATCCATTAAGTTGTTTATTGTTCTGTCAATGTCAATATAATTATTATTTCTGACTATATACGGATAATAGTAGGTAGTTAACAAATGGAAAACTACTAATAGTGTCCTCTTTATATCAAGGAATTCTTATTCGCAATGTGAACAAGAAATAATAGGTCTATTCTGCCTGCCGATTTAATACCCTTACGATATACGTTCGATATATTTATATACTTAGCCAATGTTCTTTTCATACAATGACTTAATTTTACCAACTAATGCCGAACTAACTTTCGAAAGTGAAGTTTTTGCATCTTTTCCAGATTTTAAATATAGACGAACCTTTGCAAAGTTTCATGCCGATATCTTTCAAATTGAGATCTTAGTTTACATATAGAGTTACATATTTCTTAACAAAATTACAACATTATCTCAAAAGGCATTAATGTGAATGTATCTAATTTATTTCTTTTCACGTGCGTAAATTTTAATTTTCACTATATTGAATATTGCAAATCGATTGAAGAATTTACAGTCGAGAGCTTGCAGGAATGAAGCTGAAACCACAAACTAATTAATCGGGCGGCTACGTGCGCAGCTTTAGAGTTCAGGGTTCAGGGTCTCTGAGGGGATATATGTCGTGTGGCCTGTGCCTGTCTCAAACGATAGCGACGACGACGGATTGGACATTGTGGGTTTTTATGGTTCAAAGAGCTGGTCGCTGGTCTCTGGAGCTTACCAAAACCGCCGACGCTGCTGCTGCCGTGGCTGCTGTTGCTGCTGCGGTTTGCGGTTCTTTCTGCGCCTGATGCAATTGTTCGTGCTCCCGGTCCATGAGACGCACACAAACACACACACACACACACACACACACACTCTTACTCAGATACATTTTCCAAAATGGCGTCGGCGTGGCACTGATGTAGATACAAAACAGTAAAGCCGCAGGGGTCCCAAACGTGATGCAGTTGCAATAAAATTTCAAGTCGGCTTATGCCGTCGGAGGCGTACAGTATATACGGTGGGCGTGGTTCAGCTGTCGAATGAAACGCCCTAAGCTTTGAATTTGTGCTTACGTCTAGCGGAGCTCTTACGTTTTTGCCGTCTCATTCAGGATTTATACACACAGCTTATGAAACTTTATCCAGATGCTGAAATACATATCTTTGGGCCAGGCCATAGTATGAGATGCGCTTCAATTTAAAGTTACGTCAACTTGTGCTGCCTCTGGCTGGCTGGCTGCCTGCCTTTTTATTGTGCATTATAATCCGCTTTATGTGATCGGATTATGTCCTGCGTTGCGCCTAATCCCACCACATTCAGGCGTCCGGTGACATGTGTAGCCTATCCGGAGCGAAGCGAACCGGCGGTCCACCCTCTTTTCAGTTCAACTGATCCGTTCGCGTAGTCAACTTTAATTACGCTCGCTCTGTGGCTGGATTAAGGCCCCAGCCACGCCCAAGTGCCAGTTGAACAGAAAAGCAATTAAAATGTGTATCTGTTGGATACACACACACATAGACACGCACACACACACACACACACACACACACACACACACACATACAACCTATAACGTAGCAGGTGCGGGGAGCAGGTAGCGCTTGAAAGTGAAAAGCGGCTTTCCCAAAGATCTGTTCGTTAAGATTGCCTCGCAATAAAGTTAATTAGAAACTTTTGGGTAGAGCTCATTTACCCAACCGCCTGGCCGCTCGTACTTCGTCCCTCACTTCGGTCATCGGCACTTTGCTTTGCTTGCATATTCTAGTGAAATTATAGTTAATTGCACATCATTAAAAGCAAATTCTTGGAATTAATTTTATGTTTCGTCGAAACAAAAGCAAAAGCAACAACAACGTAACGCCAATAAACAAAATGGCCGTCCGCCACCGAAACTCAGCAGCTGCCCCATTCATTATAGTGTCAGATTCAACGAATAATTACAACCTGCACTACACACACACACACACACACACACACGCGCGCGCGCAAGAGTTGAAAATGTCATTCAAAGTGACCGCTGGCCGAGGATGTCCTAGGAATTTGCAAAAAGTTGTAGCCTTACTTCGTTAATTACGTACTTAACTGTTTTCAATTTTAAAGGTGTATACACAAAAAGGCTTAAACAGAACGCATTTTCATTTATAACGCACCTTTTTTCTTATACAAGCATTTACTTCTAATATGTTTAAGCTTTTTCATATTATTTCTCTAATGTTTGCTGGAAAACGCCGCATAAGTCATTTTTATGAACATGGCTAAGAAGTTGTGTTCAGAATCTGCTGTCAAAACTAATAACAGCTTTAAACAGGTGGCAGTTTTTCTCGGGCGTATTACATAGTATCAAAAATTATTTGTTTCGAAATAGTAATTTCTGCAAATCCCATTGGAAACAACTTATACCAACAGGAAATACATTTCGTAGAATGTAAATTGATTAACGATTAGTCGACTTAACATTTTTTGTATATATATATTTTTATTAATCCATCATCTACGTCAATGTTATAAGCTACTATTTGTTTTATTTGAGTATTTAAATCTAAAGTGGCCACTTATTATCATTGGGTCTTGTCCCATTCTCCATGTCAGGGAGTTCGTAAGTTCCGACGAGATCTGACAGCTGGTTTATGACATTAATAGCTGTCTATTAAGCGTTCTTCACGACGTGTGTATGTATATCTTCTTAAGACTTAATGTAGCAGCTGGCAACGCCATTTTGAATTTGTCAGCCATCTTGAAAAACGTTGAGCGCTTAAAGCTCCTTTTATTCGTTTCATGATTATTTTTTTTAAACATATTTAAAAACATTTTTAATTTTCTGAGTTAGGCAATACAAGGGGGTAAGGCAAAGGTTAACTATAGCTGACCACGCAACGGGGCGAGGGAGAAAGAAGAGCAGAAGACCGAGGCCATACTCGGTCCCCCCTACAATCATGTTGTACGGCAGCGGCACTTGCATGATTGACGGATGGACTGAATGAGTGCACGTCGTCCGCAGCCGCCATGAGTTGCCCTATGTGCATGGTATAAGTGTGTGTGTGTGAGTTACGACGGTTCGTCTCCCACTCCAACGGCACTCAAAGTGTCCGCGCCACTCGGAACTTGTATTTCTGAATCTAAATATTTAGAGGAGCTCACGTTCGTGGCGCTCAAGCGCGACGAGACCGCAGCAAACGGCAAACAGCAAACATAAAACACACACACAACTAAAAAGAGACGAGTCATTCGCAGCCGCTGCAGCTGATCTTGATGGAGAGCACTCTGCGGTACAAAGAGTGAGAGAGTAAATGAGTGTGTGTGTGTGTGTGTGTATGTGTGAGCGATTGTTGTTGTTGCTGTCTCTGCTTTGTAGTTACATATTTGCTTTGCCTTTCACACCGAAACGGCAAAACCAGAAACCGAACAACAAACAGCACGAGACTTGAACACGAAAGTGAAACACAATTTCAGCAACGTCTGCCCGCGTCTGTGTGTTTTTGCATACATATGCAAGAGTATACATGCCTTCGTGTGTGTGTGTCTCATTGTTAGTGTGGGTGCCTTAGCATTTGTTTGCTGTTACAGTTGTTTGTTGTTATAGCATGGGAAAAGATAACGTACGAAATTGCACGAGACAATGAATATTTGTATACTATACGATAAGCAGCATATGTATGTAAGTGATAAGCTGTGTCAATCGTAATTCTGATGATTTAATAGATTCGAGAGTGCAGAAAGATTACAATTTCTTATCGCAATGCAGTGACAGCGGCACAAGCACGTGTAGCCTGCTTAAAAGTTATTAACCTCAACCAAACACTTAGATAAATTGAAAGTGAGACAAGATCGATAACTAGTCGATAACTTACCCGCTTTTCGGCACTATCGCAAGGATTGCCAACAGACGATGACGATGACGAGGATGTGGATGTTGTTGCCGCAGTGCTAGGCAAATGATTTGGTGGCAGCACATCCGTTACCACCGAGTCCAATTGCTCCTGCTTAATGCCGGCGATTAACGGCAGAAAGTCATTTTTTAGATTCTCCAATTCCAAATCCATTTTATTTATTTTTTTTTATTGAATATGTCAAACGTTGTCTGAACGCTGTATCGCGTACGTGGGAATGGGGATTCGGATTTGGGTTGTCAATGTGGGCGTAGGCTAAATTTAGCGCGAGAATTTTATCTTCACCAGCAGCTGGTGCCCTTGGTGAACATTTTTAGTTATTTCAGGATTTCTATTCCATTTCATTATTCATTCATTCCCGACAGCGGCAAGCGAAGTAGCAATACAAAAGCAACGCCAAATTGGCTGCCTACACACACAACCACAGTCACGCACACGCATACACAAACAAGTCACTTTGTGCACAATAAATAGTTTCGCTTTCGTATGGGACTTAGAGGTTTCTTGATTTACACGGCGTTTATTTGGTTGTTCTTGGCATTTTATGGTGTTTCTTATTTGTTTGTTAATGCAATTTCATTTTTACCTTCAACTTCGAACGTTTTGCAAAATTTTTCTCTCTACTCTTTTTGCACAAATTCTCATGGAGGTGAAAACTTTCATTGAAATGTTCACATTACGCTCTATATTAGGTTTGCCACTACATTGCACTGCACTCTGTTAGTTTTATTTTTGCGTTTGGCGCTTGGCTAGCACAATTGTTTATTTGTTATTCAAATTAATATTTGTATTTTATTGGCAATAAATTTCAACGAAAACACACGGTCACGGCGTTTACTCTCCTTGGACGCTTCTTCTGTACAAAAATTTTCTACTCGCGTAGCCATTTTGGATTTAACAGCGTTGCCAGACTTTTTCTAGTTACGGGTAGCAATACACGTTCAGTCCAACCGATGTTTAAGTAATTTAATTTGCTCACATTTCACATAAAACTGTTAGCAGATAAGAGTTTTACATAATTTATAAAAATGGAATTGTTAATTTTATGTGTTATACCTTTTCGATTTGTGATAATAAATAAAAATTTCGATAGGGTTGTGGCAACTTTGGTAATCAAATATGTGTGTATGTGCTGAGCAACAAGCCATCATGCAGCAGCTGTGTTGTATTACCATAAAAGAACGGCACACGTGTAAAGTTGTATTTGTTAGTATTTAACTTTTTTAAATTAATTAAATGCTGTTAAGTCATATATTAGTCCGCTTCCCAAAGGCAGGTGAATTTTTAATACACTGTCATAACTGCCAGCAACAAATAAATGTATTTATTCCGCAGTTTGCCTGAAAACGTTGCTTCGAACAGACATTAGCCGGTACTCTTTGGGTTCGCGTCAGAAATCCTTTGCTGTTGCCATGACAGAAGCACTCGATAAACTGGAACAAGAGCGGGAGGCAAGGAAAGTCACCAAAGAGGCTGAAGATGAGTCCGTTAAAGAAGCCAATCGCTTAAAGCGTACTCTTAAACGAAAGAAATGGGTGGACTGGAAGGCGCAAGACGAGGAAGATGCTGCGAATGGAACAAAGCGAGCTCCATTCGATCCCGCTGATCGCATCAAGCGCAAGAAGAGTGCCATTTTGTTGAGCTATTGTGGCGCCAACTACTATGGCATGCAACGCAATCCTGGCATGCAGACCATCGAGGAGGAGCTGTTTAAGGTAATGTTAAAACACAAATGGATTACAGAGGACTCTTTCGAGCAGGTGCAAATTGCCAGCTTTCAGCGTGCCGCACGCACAGACAAAGGTGTTTCAGCTGCGCGACAGGTGTGCTCCGTTAAGTTGCGTAAGTACTAAAAAACCTATTCAGTTAAGCATCATTAAAACATGACTTTTCAGCCGAGGAGCTGGATCTTCAAGCATTCAATGCAGATTTGCCCGATCAGATACGTCTGTTTGGTGTGGAACGTGTTACTAAAGGCTTTAATGCCAAGGATCAGTGTAATGCACGCACATATACGTATACTCTGCCAACTATAGCATTTGCCGCCTTTGATGAGCAGCACGAGCAGGAAACGTATCGCATACCGCTTAAGCTTCAGGAAGTGGTTAACACCACATTAAAGCTGTACGAGGGCACAAAAAACTTTCACAACTTTACGAGCAAAAAGTAAGCTATTCGTCTCCAGCTTTTGTCTATCATAATTAAAACGCTTGTCTTTAAGGAACTTTCTAGATCCATCTGCCAAGCGTTATATCATGTCCTTTACATGCAGCGCTCCATTCCTAAGTCCACAGAGCATTGAGTTCGTAACGCTGCAGGTGAAGGGTCAGAGCTTCATGTTACACCAGATACGTAAAATGGTCGGCCTGGCCATTGCCATAGTACGTGGCAATACCACGACTGCGACATTGGAACGCGCGTTGACCGAGGAGCGTCTGGACTTGCCGATGGCACCGGGATTGGGCCTTGTGCTGGACACCGTGCACTACGAGCGCTACAATGACCGCTATGGCAAGGATGGCATACATAATCCATTGACATGGGAGGCGCAGGAGGAGCAAGTTAGGCAGTTTATAGAGCAGCACATCTACGCCAACATATACAAAACGGAGGCCGAGCAGCGTAACATGCTTGATTGGCTGAGTACCTTGCATTTTCACTCGTATGACACGAGGCGGGACGAGCCTCCGCCTGAGGCTACCGGCAAGCAGAAGAAGAACAATGAGGATGATGATGGGGATGAATAGCAAAACTATTTATGTATAAGTTGACAATTATAAACCAGTTGTAATTTTGTAAAGTTGATACAGTTTAAACGCATGTGTTTGGCTACAGCTTAGAAGCGTCCGCCCTTCTTCTTCTTGTGACCACCTTTGCGATGCTGCTGCCTTGGACCGGGTGCAGGTTCCTGGTAAACAGGTGTCGCAGGCGAGTTCTTGTTCAAATTGGCACGATTCGACATGTCGCTGAAATCGGAAAAGAATTAGTATACTTAGTTTATTTAGAAGCAAGCGATCACTTACTATTGGTCAGCTGCGCCAGAAGCCATGCCCTGTGAGCCTTTGATAATGTCCTTAGCGCGCGCACCGCCGCGCTTCTTACGAAAGCCGGTACGTTCATACTTGGGAAGCCAGCGCTCGGGATCTGGCGCCACCTCGGCATTGTAGTTCTTGGGCAACTTGCCTTTTCGCTTGCGATTGCCGCTTTTCTTCTTTTCTGTTGCGGGTGTGCTAGGCGACGGCTCCACTTTGGCGTTAGCTGTTTTTTTGGCTGCCTTCGTGGACATCACCCAATTAGCCGCTTCGAGGGCATCGATTTCGGAGGCCGTGGTAAGAGTTTCCAACTTGGGCAACTTGCGACTTATCTCAAGCGCGCGCTTAGGATTAAACTGTGCATAAGCAATAACCAGCTGAGCTAAAACCTTCATATCGTTGGGCTTTAGCTTGAGCAGCTCCTCTAACGAGCTGGCGGCGGTCTCAGAGGCGCCACCACGCAAATGAAACTCGGCTGCCTGACGCCACATGTCCGACAAATCACCGCTGCTTACATTATTCTGCTTGTACCATTCCACGGCGGACTTGAGCAGTGCCGACGCCGCCGGCTTATTGTCTGTGCCCAAATAGAGCGACACCAGTGCCGAGACAATGCCAGGCTTGTACTTGGCCTCACCCAGCGAGAGCAGTGTTTCGATGGCATCTTTACGATTTCCCTGAAAAATTATGGAATTTTCTTAATGAAAAGAATAAGAATAGCATAGCCGACACTGACCTGTAGCAAGTGCAGCTGAATAATGGCAAATTTGCTGATAAACTCGTGTGTCTTGTGTGTACTGGCAAACTTGTTCAGTTGCTCGATGGCTTCCTTGTGCTTCTTATCATTGGCCAGTTGGCTGCAGCGTATAAGCAGAGCCTCAAACTCCACTTGTGGATAGCTTTGGGTGAGTTTCTGTGTTAGCTGCTGCACCTGATCGCCGGCATTTGTATACAATGCCAAAAGACAATTGTTGAGCGCTATTGTCTGCTTCTGACGTGAAGTTAGCTTTGGTTCGCACGCCTCAGCCATGGCAGCGCGTATTTTCTTCTTAGAATCAAAGACATTTTGATCCTTGTTAATGACCACCGAATTGTTGCTGGCAACGGCAACAAGAGCAGCGTCCTTGGGCTTATGGCGCAAACACTCAGCGTAAATGACACTCGCCTCCTTAATCTTGCCCTGCTGTTGCAGACAGTAAGCGAGCTGAACTCGGATGACGTCCAGCTCTTCGAGTATTTCCTCATCGCTGGCACCTTCCTCTTCGAGAAACTCGCGGCAAAGTTTTTCACTGGTGCGCAGTTTGCGCTCGGCCTCTACATATTTCTGGCGATTGGACTGAATGCAAGCGCTGTTGAAGTACTGCTCGTAAGTGTCCTCTGGCACTTCCAGTACATCTTTCTCCTTGTCCAAGGCCAAATTTGCTGCTACTGCGCTGAGATTGGTGCGACGCTCGTCTTCGTACTCGTCACTACTGTTCTTGATGATCTCCTTGTATGCATCTAGGCAATCTTCGTAGCGTTCCAGGCGATATAGTATTTGTGTACGCAGCTCCTTAAGCTTAGCCGGCAGCGGCTGCACGCCAGCATCATCAATGGTTTTAAGTGCCTGCAACTGTTTGTTTAGGCGGTACTCACAGTAAGCCTTCTCAAAGATCAGCACACTGCTGAGACGATTTTTCTCGATGAACTTATTCGCCTCATCAAACTTGGACAGCTGCATCAGACAGACAACTTTGCAGTGTAGGGCTGTTTGGTCATCAGGTGCAACGCCCAAAACTGGAAAAAATGATGATTGTTGAAATTTGGTAGTTTTGACACATTTCTTGAAACTTACTGCGGTTGACGGCTTTTACCGCCTTGTCAAACTCCTGATTGGTGCCGAACTTATGAACATCAGCATAGGCCGCTTTAATCAGCGCCTCCTTGGGATTTGCATCTTTCGACATAATAATAATAATCCACGAGAAAACAGTTTTGACACCGAACTTTCGCCTCGCTAGCAACTTTGACAGCTGGACACATCAGCAATAATAAATTCGAGTGTTGCCACTGCTACACTGTCAAGCATGCAGTGTGGTCGGATCGCTGTAAAATAGTCGCTCGATAATCAGTCTTTGTCAGCTGTGTATCGATAACGATTTACTATCAACAAATATTACTCGCTGGCGACGCCTTTGCGAGCTCTACTCTGTGCGTGTTTTTTGTGTAAATTATTGTAAAATGTCGGCTGAAGTAGATTTTATAAATAAAAAGGAAGTGCACCTACGCACGCTAAAGCAGTCTGGACATGTTGGATTTGACAGTTTGCCCGATCAACTGGTCAATAAAAGCGTGCAAAACGGATTCGTTTTCAACGTTATGTGCATAGGTGTGTATATACAAATGTGCTACTACACATGTGTGGGTGTGAGTATGTGTATGCGGCATTGCCTAAGTGTGTGTATGTATGTGCAATGAATCAACGAAGAAAAATGTATGGAGTTGAAATGAGTGCATTGCACACAGATTCTTAGGCACGATAGCACCAACTGACTCACTTACATATCTACACTGCATGCATGTTCGCTTGTATGTATGTATGTATGTGTAAACAATTGAATTCAGCGCGAGCTAGCCGGATTAATATGCAAAGTGTTTAGCAATCGATTTTCATCAATTTGCTTTCTACAATTTCACCCTGACACCAGTGCTGTCAGTATTTGAAGGGCGTAAAAAGCTATATATGCAACACTTTCAATATATCTATGAATTACGAAAGTAGACTTGGATGAACATTTACTGCTCAAATTTATAATTTGTATTGTCATAGATTTATAGACAATAACTGATTTCCTGATTTTCAATACTTTCAATATGGTAGATTATTAAAATAGCTATAAAAAAGCTATAATGGCAACACTGCCTGACACAAATATTTGTCTAGTGGCCAATTGAAGGCACTTGAGTTGACTTATGAACATTGCCAGTAATATGTGCTTATTTCCCCCATAGGCGAGACGGGTCTGGGCAAATCCACATTGATGGACACACTGTTTAACACCAGTTTCGAGTCGACGCCGAGTCCCCATACGCTGCCCAGCGTTAAATTGAAGGCCCACACATATGAGCTGCAAGAGAGCAATGTGCGACTCAAGCTGACGATCTGCGATACTGTTGGCTATGGCGACCAAATCAACAAGGACGATTCATTTAAGGCTGTTGTCGACTATATTGATGCCCAGTTCGAGAATTATTTGCAGGAGGAGCTTAAAATTAAACGCTCCCTTGTCACGTGCCATGACAGTCGCATACACATTTGTCTGTACTTCATCTGTCCGACTGGACATGGTCTGAAGTCGTTGGATTTAGTCTGCATGAAAAAACTGGACAGCAAGGTGAACATAATTCCGGTGATTGCAAAAGCGGATACCATATCCAAGGTGGAGCTGCAGCGTTTTAAAGCAAAGATCATACAGGAGCTCAACACAAATGGCGTGCACATCTACCAGTTCCCCACTGACGATGAGACCGTGGCGGAGACAAACAGTCTGATGAATTCGCACATTCCGTTCGCCGTTGTCGGCAGCACCGAATTCATCAAGGTGGGCAACAAGCTCATTCGTGCTCGCCAATATCCCTGGGGCACGGTCCAGGTTGAGAACGAGACACACTGCGATTTTGTCAAGCTGCGTGAGATGCTCATCCGCACAAATATGGAAGATATGCGCGAGAAGACGCACACACGACACTATGAACTCTACCGCCAGAAGCGGCTGGAGCAGATGGGCTTCAGTGATGTGGACAGTGATAACAAACCTGTCTCATTCCAACAAACCTTTGAGGCAAAACGCTCCAATCATCTTGCTGAGCTTCAGTCCAAGGAGGAGGAGGTGCGCCAGATGTTTGTGCAGCGAGTCAAAGAGAAGGAGGCCGAGCTCAAGGACAGTGAGAAAGACTTGCATTTGAAGTTCGAGAAATTAAAGCGGGATCATGCGGAGGAGAAGCGAAAGCTTGAAGAATCTCGAAAAGCGCTCGAAGAGGACTATTTGGACTTTCAGAGGCGCAAGCAACAGCTGGCTACAGCACACCATACACTTACGCTGGGAAAAAGCAAGAAGAAGTAGACAGACATAACATATAAGCAATTGTCTTCAAGTATTTTGTACGATTTGCGTATCCCAAAGTAATTATTGCTTTTTCATCTCGTTGTATTCATTTATGCTATTAAGTTTCTTCAAATATTAACACATACACCAACGTACATACATATATGCATACATACATATAAGTATGATTATTTACAACTAACGAATAAACGAACTTAGTATTTTAAACAAATTGAAAGCGGTTTTTTTTGCCAGGGCTGAATACCATAATTTTTAACTAGAGTCAGGAGAACGAACGAGAAGGTGAATCGAATGAACAAGCGAACCAGCTAAATAGCTTGGTTCGTTCATTTAGTTCAGTGAGTCGATTGCGCTTGCATCGAACGATTTGACAACTCTAACTTGCAGTTCTATCAAATAAACGAAAACGCAATTATTGTATTGCAAATAATTAATGTAGTCAATCATTAGAATTATAAACTATAAAGCAATTGAAAGTGTTCAGATTGTTGTATACATTTCTAAACTTGTTGTATGGTACTCTTAAAAACAACTCGAAACTTTCTGTGTGTATGTGTGTTTTTTTGTTTGTCAATAGGGGCGGGGGTGCAGGTGCACTGCAAAAGTGATTTTTCATAATAAGCGTAGTCGGAAATACCAGACGCCAATTTGTTGCTTTGCAAAAATGCATAGCATTAGCAGCACATTGCTAACGTTAACTCTGGTGCTGTACGCCTTATTGCATACAGGTAAGAACTAAACCTGGATGCCAATCGAGTTTTGATTCGTGCAACGTGAATAATTTTCAACTGTGCGCATTTCAGTTAATTGTAAACATGTTGTTATAACGGCCCCACAACATGCGCTCATCGGCTCCACGGTAAATGTTAGCGCCACATTATACGATGGCAGTAGAATTGCCAGCAAAGGCAGCTATAGCTTCACCTGGAAGGACAGTGCTGGCCAAATCAAGGTAAATACGGTGCGAAAAGAAAGCGACTTTTGCCTTATAGAGAGTATAGAGTAACGGTTGACACAGAGCGACACATATATTACGCACCATACGCACCATACTATTATTATGACTAATTAAATGTACACATGCGAAGTCTCTGGTTCGCCACGGTGTGCACATTCCCTACGTACATACGTTCCAATTCAAATTTACGATAAGAAAGCTAAAGCTGGAATTGTTGAATGCGCATTCATCATCAGCAGCAAACAATTTCCATATTTAAAGCGCATTTCAAATGTTGTATAAGACCAATTGATAATAGTATACATTTACAGAGTTAATTTTAGATAACGCTTCCATTGAATTTGTATGTACTCGATATCAAATTTGCAATGCTAATTTTTGCAATAATTTAATGTCGCTTGATAGTCGTGCCTGGCACGTTTAGTTACACTACACTAGGGTATTCCGACTCGGTCATGATCTGTAAATTGGCCAAATTCGCGAAGCTGGCATGTCAGTTATTTCCTTTGTTCAATTTTCTATTAACATACCACAATTACAATTGTGCATATGGTTCATGTAATATATAAAATCTATTTTTATATATATTGTCAACGGTAATTGGAAACTGTAGATTTGTTTCGTCATAGAATAAAAAGAAGCACAATGAATGATATATAAGTATTCGCCTATAACTGTACATACCAAGTTTTTGTGCCTAGTTTGCGTCACAGATGCACAGATTATAAGCGACCTAATTAAAAGCTGCGCCCATATTTTATAAATGAATAAATAATTACGTATTTAACTTGCTTTTGCTAAAATGCAGGAAATTGAGACGACCGAACCGATCAGCAATTGGAGTTTAATATACGCAAGGGATGACACGAATTTGGGACGCCATCGGTTAGAAGTGAGCGTGTCGGAGAAGACGTTCATATTGTGGTTTCCGGTGGCTGAGAATGCAGTTGCACTCACAGTGGTCAATACACTCAGCGGCAGTCTGCAGCTTATACAGGATAAAAAGGTGCGCACACAGGATTTTGTGTCCACCCAGTATCCAGTAGAGCATAGCATTGAACTATGGCAAGCAGATTTGGATTATTTGAAAAGTAATAATTACTATATTAATACGTACTGGTTCGAAAACTGTACATATCTGGGCATGTCGCATGCCTATGACTATCAAGCAATATATCCCGATCCCGATCAATACTATAATATTGAGGCGCTGGTGGTGGCATCACCTTTTCCGCTGCCAGAGCCAACAACATCTACAACAACAACAACAACGACAACAACAACAACAACCACTACAACGAGCACTACTACAAGCACCACGCCCGCAACTACAACGTCCACTTCCACAACGCCCGCCACAACAACAACATCAACAACACCAGCAACAACAACTACAACTACAACTACAAAAGCACCAAAGCTGTCTCGGCTTAAACGTGACCTTAACCAAACCATGCACGCAAATGCTAAGCTGCTTGGACTGAACCTGGCAGCCGCTGTGCAGCAGGAGCTCCTGAAGAAAAACAGCAGTGGCAACGCATCCATGGCTCTTGTAAATCCTTTGGGCGTGCGGAAGCTAAAGCTGCTGCCCGTCCCGGCACCAGCTTACAATTGTATTGATGGCAACATTGTTGCCCAGGATCCAAACAATACCTATGGCTATTTTCAGCGGCGTGTTGTCTCTAAGAGTAAGTGATCAAGCAAAATTTAAAAGCAATTAAACATTCTAATATGATGCATTTTTTCAGCGCCCATCTCCAGCTTTGGTACGAGTGGCAAGAACTGGCTGCAGCATTGGGAGCTGATTAATCTACAAATCACCTGCAAAGGCTCAGCGCCCTTTGAGGTTTGCATTCAGTATTACAATGGTGCGTATCCAAACGTATAAATTGTCCAGCTTAGTGCCTCATTTACTTACTTATTCCCAAACTTTAGCGCCGTATAATGCCACAGGAAACGAAACGTGCAGCAGCTATGATAAGTACGACAAGTGCGACTTCATCTTTGCGCGCTATTTTGCTGATAGCAAGACGATCCTGTTTTTTATACGCAACGAAGTCTCTGAGAGTGTCAATCAAGTTACTATTAACATCTATGAAGGTTGGCAAAGCATCTACAAGTCTATTAACCTAGTTTTTTATTTTAAACCCTTGCTTTCCACTCTTCCAACAGCTAAGCGACAATCGCAGCTATCGGTTGTAGTTGTGCCTATTGCCTGCACTCTGGTAGCCGTTTGCCTGGTCATTTTCGGAGTGGCGTACTACATGCAGAGCCGTAATCGGTAAGTTTCCAATATCCAAATCGTAGTCGCAACGAGTAACTGATTTTTTATGCCTTCAGATTTACGGTAGAAGTGGCTGATTTTAATTTTGGTGATACACAGTCGGTGGATATGGAATACAAAACATTCCAGCAGCGTTTGATCGACAGCATACGCGATGCGTGGCCATGGCCCAGGTGGCGACGCTACTCACAGTCAAGCACGGATCTCATGGCCGAGCAGCCGTCAAATTCCGGAAGCTTTGGCGGCAACGTTGGCGACGTTGACAGCAATTTGCGCTACAATACGTTCAACTAAAATTGAACACTTTTGCATAATTGTTATCTTTATTATTTAATCATATTAATTTAAATTTTGAGTTTTTAGTTTATAGTTTTGATTTCTTTCAATTGGTGCGTTTCGTAAGTTTTAGTCATTTGCATTGTAAAGCAGCTTTTTTTGTTGTGGGCAATATCAACCCAATATTTGTTCGTGTCCCCATATTTTCACATTTAATCATATTCGTGACCATTTTCGTCCACCAAAACGCACACTCGCTCAGCAATTGCCAAACGACATGCAATATTTAATAGCAAATGGATAAATTTTATGAACGCAACTAATATTCTTATAAAATGTTGTAAAAGACTGTCTTTGTTCTAAAAAACAAGCAAAAGCAAGAAACAGAAAGAAGGAAATTAACGTATGCTACAAATTTGTTTCGTTTTAAGTGAAACCATAATATATTGTCATGTTGGCAGACATAACTTGATGACAAAGACACAGCACATGCATATACAAAACAAACACAAAAAATATATTATTCATTGTGATAGAACTAACATTATATTTGTATATTTAAGACAAAATTCTGGGCGGTGATAAAACGCATCTAAAGTACCAAACATAAAGAGAAGTCTTGATCGCATGATAAAAAATCAAATTTTATATGTATATATGCATATAATATTATATGCGAATTGTTAGTTTCTTGAGTTGGATCCAAAATTTCGATATTGATGGGATACGATATTCAATTCATTTGAATCCTATATTTGGGCCACATCTATTTATCATTTTGAAAATCGCGCTTTAATTACGCAGAAATGCGCATGCCAACGCAAATTGCTCTGGTAATAATTTGTCCATGTTAATTTACAGATACATTTTGCGTTAGCAGAAACCTCAAAACAAGTCTTACAATTTTGTTTAGTTCCGGGCAAAAAAAATGTTTTTAAACGATATTGGACAACCTTTAATATTAGATCCCCATAAAACATATGGACCTTATGAGCAAGTAAGTACTATGATAGATCTTTTTCAATATTAATTAATATATTTAAATCCACATAGCACAATGGACCCATGCTGTTAACATCAGCGGCGTTCCAGGATCACAGAGCTCCTTCAAATTGGTGTGGGCGCATTATCGGCTCAGCAGATGATGTGGCGCGTTTCCAAAACGTGGTATCCAAATCGAATCAAAGGTATAAGTACGATGTCCTTAAGCCCAACGAGCCAACCGAAATTGTGTACGACAATACGAAGATCATGCTGACTTTGATACCAGCCGGACAGAACGAGGCCAATGAAAATGCCATCTTATATTATTTGAAAAGTTGGTGCCTCCCATCTATATATTTATATAACACATATAATCTATAATGTTTTGTTTTTCAGATGACTACGTCAGTGCTCTTATAGCTGACAATTTGACCGGCTATTTAGATTTTATACCAAAGGCTGGTGCAGCCTTCCACCTTGCACTTGGTAACGGCATCGATGTCATGTATATTGACGATATATGTTATATGTCCGAGAACGATGCAGCACTGGCACAAAGAGAGTATATTTATGCTCTGGTACAGCTTATAAGGCCCAAATTTTTGTACGGCTTAAGATTAGACAAGTTACCAAAATGTTTGCTCAATCTGTGCGTCCAGAAGGATAAGTTGTTGATCGACGATTAATCAGTAAAATTGACAACCAAAAATACCGTAAAAATTTTAATTTACAAGTTAACGCAATCGGGTATTAGTAGGTAACTAAAAGCTTTAACTAATTTTAACGCCGCCGTCGCCTCAATTGGATTATGCCTTGGCTGCCTTGGCCTTGCTTTTCACTTTCTTAACACGCTTAAGACCATCCATTTTGCTCTTCATAAATTGGGAGTACATCGCCATCATTGTGGGAACGTCTCCCTGGCGAACCACAGTGGAAATCTGTTAGTTGATAGACAAGTGAACTGTTAAGAAGAAGAACATGTTAATAAGAAGCTTTGTTTACCTTTTTGGACTTGAATTGGGCACGCATCAGGCACATGTATGTTTCAGGTTTGGGCAAAGGTTTTTTTTCTGGTCGCGGCACAGGACGATCATGCCCATCATCTGTGCGTTTTAATTAAAAAAAGAAAAACGCATTTTAATTAGAGAAGTCGCATGCGGGCAGACTTGCTACTTACATCGTTTAAATGTTATCGTGAAGGAAGAATTGTCTTTCGCTTCATTGGCAATTTTCTCCAGGCGCAGAATAAACTGGAAATAAATGCAGCGTTATTGAGAATATTGGGATAAATGGATTTATTTACGTTAGAATTGTCGAGCAAAACCATTTCGTGGCAGATACTAGAGCTAGCGTAAAGTGACTTGTGTGCTGTGGCTTATTTAGTACATTATTTTATGGAATGTAACCCAACATTGTTAACAGACTGTTAGCTAACATAAGTTCTGACGACACAAAAAGCATTAGAGCTGCCCACTTGCATATGCTGTTAAGTTGGCAGGGCTGGCATTCGGTCTTGCTTCGCCAAAAAAAATTTACATTAAAAATCGTAAAAATCTACGAAAACTTACAAGTGCAGGCAATCAGCTAGGCTGTTGAACGCCCAAACACTGACAAAAGTTGGCATCACCGCAGTCGCATACCCAACGCTCCCAAGATTTCACATCCAGCGTGTACAGGCTGATGGTGTAAGCAGAAACGATCGACCGACTCGACGACCGCCAAAGGAAGCGCCCCCGCCCGCCCACGCCAGTAGTAGCAGTAGCCGTAGTAGGCAACGACAATAACAAATTCTGTGTAAAGCACAACCTTCAAACCCCTTGGCAGTAGTCAACAAAAGGCAACTCACGACAACAATCTTGCAAATATGGTAAGCACGCGTAGCCGGCCTCCGGCGCAGCTCAGGACGATGTGTTGATGCTGGGCAACTTGCGAGTCATTAATGCAGACACACACACACACCCACACCCACACATACAAACACACACCAACACACACGCAATGCCGTGAGCACGGTGAATAAGCAAAAGCCGCGCAACGTCGCCGTCGTCATCGCTGCTGTTGTTGCAATGAACTTTGACCGAAAACATTGTTACTACTTTCTTACAGGACGTTTTCCTCATGATCAGAAGGCATAAGACAACCATCTTTACGGATGCCAAGGAGAACACATCAGTTGTTGAACTGAAACGCATGATCGAAGGTAAGTGTACCAATATGCATACACATGTATTTCTCTTTGCTCTGTATTCGCGCGCGTGTGTGTGTGTGTGTGTGTGTGTGCCCGTCTGTGTGGGTGCGTGTGCGTATGTGTTTAAGTGTTATTCCTATTTTTAGATCTGATTTTTGATTATTAAGTAATTTTATAATCATTGGCAGGCATTTTGAAAGTGTCACCTAGCGATCAACGGTTATACAATCAGGACAACGATGTCATGGAAGATGATCAAACGTTGCAGGACTACGGTGTTACGGTATCAACGGCAAAGGCTCAAGCCCCAGCACAGTTGGGCTTAACATGCAGGTGAGCGACGATAGATGACCATTCCCTGTTATTCCAGTTGCCGTTATGAAAGCCGCCCTTTGAGTCACGCTGATAAGCGGCTACCGCGGCTACCGTTGTTGTTTTTTGTTCTATGTACATATAAGAGATGGACGCGTGTTTGATTTTTCTAACACGACGCGACACCGACACGAATCACAAACATGTTCAAATATATCATAAACCCAACACGACACGCACGACTTTAACCAATGTTTACTTTTGTACCTTCTTTGATTGGTTTGCTTTCTGTTTCATCGTTAATGAATCAGCATTTTTGAATTAATGAATCAACAGTATTGTCCAGTTTAAATATCAACGTAAGTTTTATCTTACGCGATACGTGTTGAGTCCTGCGTTGTCGTGTCACAAAACGCAACGCGACACGAGTCCAGCTCTAGTATGTTTGTTATCTTTTGATGCTCGCACGTGTGCCATAGTTGTAATTGTTCGGTTAACACTTTGCTAATTCGTTTTCTATGCTCGCAGGAACGAAATGGGTGATTTTGAGACGCTTGATATCACCCCATATTCAGCACCGCCCGACTTACCAGAAGTGATGAAGAATCAAGAGGCCTCAAATGGACAGGAACAAGTCGCATAAAGTGTAAAGAAGCATTAAAATCAACAGCAACAACAACAAGAAAAACAACAGCAATAACAACAATACCATCATCAACAATAAGAACAGCAGCTAATACTTGGATTCACAGCCGCTGCTGCTGCTGTCGTATGCGAGACAAACCTAATGCTGAGAGTCAAAATAACTATTGCTCGCTTGTCCCCCACAGTCAACTCTCTTGATGCAATGCTAAATTGAATTTGAATTGTACTACAATTTCTACTCTGCCTGGTCAAAAAACAGCAACAGCAACAATAGCTAATTATGTATGCATTTTTTTCGTTGGTTATAGCAAGGAACAATTTAAATAATATGATTCAAAATTATAATTTGAGATGGGATTTGATAATCCTATATATTTAAAATTAACTATTTGTTTGTTTCTTAAGGAATTTGTACGAATTTGTTTAAGAAAAAAATAGATATACTACACAAAATTTTAATGAAAATTTATGAAATGAAAGTCACACTTGAAATAGCTTATAAAAATGGCAATTGATGATAATTGAGCAAACGGTGAATAATTTAAAATATTGGGATTTAAATTTATTATAATTTATAATCAAATTATGATTATTATTATTATTATTGTAATAATAAGATTTAATTATTATTAAAAAGGAAAAAGAAAATCTACATTACTAATCACTATCATCCATTCCGGAACCGGCGGCTGCCGTCACAGCTGCCACTTCTGCATCATTAGCATCCGTCACAGCTCCCTCGTCCTGCTCGGCGCTATCGATGAACGAGGCGTTGCTGCTTTGCTGCAGCTCCAAGTGCTCCAAATACTCTTGAAGACGGTCCTGGAAAAAGTTAATGTACGTTTGTTTCTGCTGCGCAGTGGCAGGAAAATAATGGCCTCCGCTATGTTCCAACACTTCTACGTTCTTAAAGTGAGCTGCCAGCGATTCGCTCATATCCTTGGGAATGATTTCATCCGACAGCCCGTAAACGTGTAGGGTGGGAATTGTGATGCGTTCCTCGTAAGCACTCATATGCACCAGACTGCCCGATATGAAACCGGAGCTAAGCACAGCAAATTCGGGACGAATAGAGGTCACTGGTGGAGAAGCAGCTGATGTCAGTAAATGGGTAAGCCAATAATAGACCACTTACATTTCTTTTTGGCCAGACCACAAATCAGTCCCACAAAACAGGCACCTTGGGAAAACCCCAGGAGCCCTTGGAATGGTCCCTGTGACTTCCAAGCCTCTTCGACGACGCGTAAACTCTCTTGGAATCCGTACGCCGGTCCACTTTTGTTGGTGCCTTTAAATGTGCCATCATCTTTGTTGGCCCACCAGCTGCGCTGCTGCTCTACTGGCTCTGCCGATGGTTCTAGTGGCGCAGCTACGTGAGGCGCTGAGATAAACACAAATTCCGCATATTTACCGGCAAACTTGCGAAACGAACCCAATTTGTTTTTGAATGAATCCGCTTGAATTTCAAGTATGATGTTTAAATGTATTGTTTCAAGAATTCAGTAGTACGAACCATCTTGCCGGTATCCGTGCAGGCAAAGAACTCGCACCTTGTCTGTGATCTCCACCTTGGCGGCAGAAGATGCGGAGGCACCGCTACTCGCTCGGCTTGAGCCAGCAGTCTCTGATTCGTTGTTGGTCATAGCGGAAAGAAGAGTCCCAGCTGTATGAAAGCGCCACAAGAAACACTATTAACGTTTTTTGAGGTTAAACGTATGAACAGCTGATATGCCAAATGCTAGAGATGAAACTTTCAGCTCATTTGAGTCGGCTTGTTTGAGTTGGTTCAAAAAGCATAAAAATACCGATGGTGGCAAATGAGTAACCTTGATGGGGATGTATACAAGCTGTTGTTAATTGATAAACCTATAGAAATTATTTCGGTAAAATATAATCATTAACATTAAGTAGGTGTGAACATTGTGCATCATTCTTGCGCCAACAAGAATATACTTGTGCCTTTTGCATGCGCATGTCGCTTCGATAGATCCTTAGCTGAATTACACGTTCCGACTCTGTCGCACAATTTGCGTTGGCGCCATCTATCAATGAAATAGTTTAATTTAATGTAAGGCTGCCGTCATCTGTTGAAATATCTTGATATATTGGCGCCATCTGTGCGAAAGTGAACGAGCTAGAATCTCATTCAGCAAAACTGTTAAGTTAACATTAAAGGATATTTAAAAAGGTCCCAATTGTATTTAATTACCCACTCAAGACACGCACCTTGCAATGTGTCTAAGATAAGACTAGACTCATCAGTCGGATAAAAGGTACTTATTGTGAACTTCCTATTTCTCCTGCGTGGCAAATTTAAATATTATCCAAAATGTAACGGAAACAGAAAGAGATCTAAGTTTGAAGTTGAAAAAATTGATTTAAGAAAAAGAGGATAATCGATTCGAATTCGAATGCCAGATGTGCTCATTTTAGTCTGTTAGAGAACACACGCCAAAATAACCAAAATAAAATCTAAGCTGGAATTTGTAATTAGAGCATTAATTGGACAAATTGTTGTCACGCACAACATAAGCAATGTTTACCATTGTGTCCAATATGTCTGTGCTTTGGGCCTGTCGTCAACCTCAGCCCTCTCGTTGTCCGTTTTGTTATATTAATTTGCTGATTTATTAGCATCGGCCCATCAGATGGCGGCGATAAATTTAAATGCAATTTAATGAATGCTTGCGTATTTCGCATTTCATTCGGCCATTGTTGAGGTTGAGCTTGAAATGGTTTAACGGCAGGCATTTGCCAGTTATGCGTAAATTGTAAATATTTATGTGTTTCACGCAATTGTTGCAATTTGCTATTGTGTGTGCGTGTTTTATGTGTAAATGTGTTTAATGCGATCAAATAAATAGAAAAATGCGTTTCCGGCTGCAACTTATTACGAATTTACACGCATTGAAGCGAACAACTGGCAAACCCACAAAAATGAAGAGCCAAATAAAAATGCATATGTATGCATGCATATATTGAGCTACCGCAGAAGCACAACTTTGTACAACACCCACACACGCGCACACGGAGGAGAGCGAGAGAGAGAGAGAGAGAGTGAGTCGATAGAAAACTGTTAAATATTTTATGCTGCTGCTATTTTACGCTTGTAAATCACAAACAAAGCCACAGACAGCCGGCGAGGGCAGCCTTTAAATGCGCATAAACCAAAAAGTTTCCAAGCATTTCCTGCAGCACCGTGCTGCTTAGGCCCAGAACCAGGCCCAGACCTAGGCCCAGGACCAGAGCCAGGCACAGACTGAACTCCAAACTTCATATGTCTGCCCTTCACGGGAAGTCAGTGCTTAGCAGCGAGTTTCCAGCTCTGTATCTGTATCTGTATCTGTATCTGTATCTGTATCTGTATCTGTATCTGTATCTGTATCTGTATCTGTATCTGTATCTGTATCTGTATCTGTATCTGTATCTGTATCTGTATCTGTATCTGTATCTGTATCTGTATCTGTATCTGTATCTGTATCTGTATCTGTATCTGTATCTGTATCTGTATCTGTATCTGTATCTGTATCTGTATCTGTATCTGTATCTGTATCTGTATCTGTATCTGTATCTGTATCTGTATCTGTATCTGTATCTGTATCTGTATCTGTATCTGTATCTGTATCTGTATCTGTATCTGTATCTGTATCTGTATCTGTATCTGTATCTGTATCTGTATCTGTATCTGTATCTGTATCTGTATCTGTATCTGTATCTGTATCTGTATCTGTATCTGTATCTGTATCTGTATCTGTATCTGTATCTGTATCTGTATCTGTATCTGTATCTGTATCTGTATCTGTATCTGTATCTGTATCTGTATCTGTATCTGTATCTGTATCTGTATCTGTATCTGTATCTGTATCTGTGTAAATGTATCTGTATCTGTGTAAATGTATCTGTATCTGTGTAAATGTAGCTGTGTCTCTATCTGTATCTGTAGCCGTGTGGTCATGTGGCCGGGAGACAGACGTATTTAATATTTAAATCAAATTCCATCGACTGGAATTCAGTTGCGATTGCAAGACGTTGCAAATGTTTGTCAGGTGTTGGCGTCGGTGTATTCAGTTTTCGAATCAGAATAGTGTGAAATAAATTAATAATCGTAAATCACATTAAATGCATTGGTGTATATGCCAGGGACATAAATATCTCAGACAACATTTAAAGCGCATTTCGGGTTTGAGGTTTTTGGGTTTTGGCAAGCACCTGACTTATCGCCCAGGTGTTGATGAGTTTATTGGTGTTTACGGCCACTATAATGCAACAATAAATTGCAATTTAACAATATATATTTAACATTCCTTTGATATATAGTTATTACTTTAATTAACGTCCGTATATGTACAATAACTATGTGAACAATTTATTGTGGTAATATCTCAAAAAAAGTATGCTTATTGAATTAATTAAATGATTGACTTTTACTTTATTGTGGCTTTTTCAATATATTTTTAGTACTTAATTTTGACAGTTGACTGTATCGAAGTCTTACTGTACTTAGCCACCTGCTAATTCCTTTAGCTGGACTTTAATTCTTGCCATTTATTTTCAGCTAAATTAGCCAAATGCCTGCACTGACTTCGACTCTGGCACGGCTCTGCGCCTTCGAAGTGAACGAATTTTAACAACAAATCAATTTTGTTTGCCAGATTGCACTTTACGTGACTCAATTGCTAATTGCCTCATTTGAAGCAAGAATTAAGCAAACTCAATTGGCCCCAAAAAAACAACAAATTGGCTAGATAGAAATATAAGCGCTGCGAAGGACTGCCGCCATTTTTATGCAATTAGTTTTGTTGAGAGAACAAAATCTTAGTCTGTATGAACTTTTCGTATGTCATCCGATCAGGCTCAAGCTCTCTTTCGAAGATCTTTGTGAAAATTCATGGCACACCTGTTCGAACATCTAGGTGGGAAGTGGGCGTGCATGGTTGTAAGTGTAAAAGTTGAAGTTTTGTTCGATTAGCTTTAAAATTATTATTGAAGCTCTAACGTGTTTCGATGATTTTCATTCCCAAGTCCGGAATACGCGTGAAAAAATGTGGAATTAAGCCTTTATGTTTTTGCTTCGTCCACGTCAAACTGATGTTAAATTTGAAAAGGTCGCCTGGGCAACGATGGTTAATTCCCGCTCCGGCATTATCATGCTCGTACACTTAGTCGAGCTTATTTAGTTGCACTCCAGCTTCTCTTCCCCTCCCTTTTTTTCTCTCATACTTGATTCATCATTCTTGATAAGTTGCAAAAAATAAGAGCAGCACTTTTTACTCTGCAT